ATATCACAGTATTTGCTAATCATTTATGTACCTCAGTTAATTTTGCGCACCCAGAAAATTTTTGCTGTAGTTGCAATACCACTTTTTTGAGTGTAGAGAGGGAAAGATTGTATATCAAGTAACACGTTTCCTTATCTTATTGCCCAGTATTAGAATTCTCGTAATTTTGCGAAACGGAAATTTGTAACTTCGTTTTACTCGTGTCAATGTCAGTGAATCAGATAAACGTTTAGTCAAACACGACCAGTCGGGCAACTGGCTTTTCTATTGGACCACCATTGATTGATACGTCAGCCTAAATTCTTGCCAATTCTTTTTAAGTTATAAAAAAATAATTAATAATGTTATAACGGATATTGAGTGTTAAGAAACAATCACAATGTATATCTGCGTATAATATACAAAATATGACGATATGTAGAGAATTAACTCGGTGTGAGAAGATAGAGGCGATCAACCGCTACAAAATGTGCATTACATTAATATCTATTATTTGACGCTTTTTTCGATACACCGAAAGTCCTCCAACCGGAAAGAAGTTTCTCGTGGATATTTACGATTTTACTTTCGCGGCCGCTGCAGGCCGAGCTAGGCAGATTGCTTTTTGATTTGCGCTTAATCGGAAAAAGTTATGGGCTCTCGAGAGATGGGCGAGTTGCTGCAGCAACAGCAGCTCTCTCTCCCCCCCGTTTAGGGGGCGTACACACAACTAACGCGGCGGGCCGCATATTAAACCATAAATTCATGGCGCCGTGCGCTCGACGTTCGGAGTTATCGCGCGGGGAAGTGTGCGTGGCATTACTTTCAACGCCGCACGCTTTTTATAACGCGATCGCCGTCGCTTCGATCTCGTTCTCCGCTTCGTTCGTTTCCCGTTTTTAATCGTTGCCCGTGATAATAGTTTCGTTGCACACCGAGTATAAGCTGATTATCCCACATAATGACCGATGTCTTCAGTGCACGATTAATTTTGATAATTTAACAAATTCATATTCAGAAATAACGTTACAGATAAAATAAGATAGTATTATTAAAGCAAGGTAATCGGGCAAATTTTCAGATGTTAATTATAATAGTTGATTGATGTTTGATCTTTCAAGCGAGAAACACAAGTGTGACAAATTTTTTTCATCTTGGAGAAAATGATAAAGAATAGTTATTTAACAGGATGTCCACTTAAATTTTGTAACAAAATTTCAATAAAACTCCATGAGAATTCTCCGATTTTTCCAGGTACAAAAAAATCTCTGAGAATTCCAGATTTTCCATATTTTCCCATGGAGTAGACACCTTGTTTAGATTTTTTACATTTTTAAAAACGATATTTTTAAACACATTCCAAATGCATGACAATGTGTCTAGAAATAATTCTTATATGCATTAATTTCTACGAGTGCCTTTTATATTGCCGTTAAAAATACTTTGTATCCGTCCGAGGAAGAACGGCGAGAGGGACTCGATGTAATTTCATCTTTCAGTGCTGTTCGGCCAAGCGGATGTTTTATCGAAGATGACTCGGCTCGTGAGCGAAATCGCCGATCGGGTCGCCGATCATTACGTTGCGAACGGTCAGCTATTCCCAATCACTTGTGAGCTTTATTGGACGACGATCTGAATTATAAACGAAGATCGGACCCCTCCGACCTGCCGCGACTTCGATGCCGCCGCCGAAGAGGAGGGAGTTTCCTGACCTGACCTTCCCGTTCCTGCACTCGTTCGCGCGGCAATCGCAAACGGCCTAATCCTAAAGGAAGTCAATCTGCCGAAATCAAAGCTGACACTGTTATACATTGGGCCAGGGCAGGGTATGAAACGCGATAAAAGTCTGGGACAGATTTTGAGTTTGATCAGTTGAAAACAACGGAGATTATTTTCTACACTTTTTATCTTCTACTGTCGAATTACTTTAATTTAATATTTTCAAGCGTGATACTATAAAAAGAAAGAGTTTTTATTATTATCATTATATTAATAAAAATAATATAACACCATCAAAACTTTTCAGTGTCACACTTGAAAAATTAGATATACTTTCTACATCGTAAAGATTAGTGTAGAATAGATTATTACGTATTCATCGCTACTTACCTTTGGTAGAGTCTTCTTGACCGCTCGACCTTGTAACTTGCGAGGATATTTTCGCCTGGTCATTGGAAGATGCAGTTGTTTTGCCGTCATTCGAGTTTTGATTTTTGACGCAGTTTTCCGGACTGGGTGATCGATCCCTCGATATAGGCGGCGGCGAGGGGGTGCATCCGAGAAGTTTGCGAACCGACAGCTTTAGCTCGGGAGTCTTCAGAGGCGGCAGACTCTCCGCGGTATCTCGGATGTCCTTGATCTTGGCCGCGACGGACAAATCCTCCGGTTGTAATCGGCCTTCCGGCGACGGCGGCTCCTCGACATTTCCGCTCGTCTCGACGACACCGATCGCAGCCTCCTGCACGCCTTCATCTAAACAAGTTTTGCTTGTATTGGCCTGGGACCATCTTGATCGTGATGAGGATCACGTCGGCGATTAAATCGATTCGTAAGTGAATTGCAGTTTTAAAAGTAAAGAGCATTGACGAACTTTTATTGGCATAATAATGAAATACGATGATAAAAAATGCAGATTATATTGTAATGAAAAAAAGTTAAAATCGTAAATTAAAAATTAACAGTATCTATCATGCTCTAAGATAAATCTTTTCTGAGCAAAATGAATATATGTATACATATATAAAATATTTAAGAGAACATAATATAATAACAATGAAAGATATAATAACACAAATAGCATCATATGAAGGGATATGTAATAAAAAAATTAGATTTGCAAAAGATGATAATGATTAAACTAAAAGAACGCAGAATTATTTATAAAAGAACGTAAACAATTTTCGACTCTAACATCCGCAATTAATTTTTTTTTAATTCACGTATTAACGTGATGGAAAGTTCTAAATAATCATGAAATGCAATATGTGAATATTGTTCAATACATAAAGATATGATTTTACATAACTTCCACAATTGATCCTTTTTGGATGGATCCTCTATAGATTGATACATATATTCCATTTTGTTTTGCTGATATTAATCACTGACAAACTCGCACAGACACATACGAATCAATCTCTGACTCGCGTAACAAATTCCCTTTCGAGATCTTATACATGTATGGTATTAGATCTACATATATATGGAGGATCATGATCTACAAAAACATAACTAAAAAAATCTTATAGAAAAAAAACGCGCACACTGCGTCGATCGATTTGACTTCGATGAGACTAATTTCTGATCAATTCAATTGGCACATAAACATCACGGTATATCGAGAAAAAAAAACTTGTCGCACGTACGTCGGTCATCGTCGTCCACAGCGTGATCGCCGATAAGATGCGCGACACTGAGCGTGATCCTGCCGCCGGCGCCGGCGGCCGACCTGCAGCCGGCAGCGGCGGCTTCGACGCTCGCCGCCGCCGCAGCCACCGCGTTGTCGAAGCTTTTGGAGACGAACTGGGCAAGCTGCTCCATCCTCACGGTTATCGGGGCGACTCTCGCGCGCGACGTCGCGCCTCGGTACCGACGGCACTCGCCGCCGCCGTCGCGAGAGAGAACCGTCGACCGTCGCCGGGGCCAGGGGACACGTCGACGGGAGGCACATTGCGACGTCGGCGTCGCGACGCCACGCGTCGTCCAGGACGCCATTCGGCCGCCAGCCAATCCGCGCTAGGATGGGCGTGATAGAAACGCCCCGAGTTTGCCTCTCGTCGGTTTCTCATCACCCTCCCCGAGCCACGGCTCGGGCCTGTAACCCCTCGTCCCCTTCCGGAAGGCTGGCGCATTCCACCCCTCAAACCGACGCTCATTAGCATTTGCGCCCGCTTTACCACCCGCCGCTGGAAACACTCGTGTGGAATCTACCCCTCGTCGTTGGCCAGGGATAGGATACCGTTCGACGACCATCCTACTACACTCCCGCATTTACCCCTCTCACTCTCACGCGCTACGCCGCGTGCGACCGCCATCCAGGGCCGCTATATTTACTTGAAGGCAGAAAGAGGCCGCCGCGGGTACGCGGGTAATTAATCCGATGCTTTCCGCGGTCGAAGCTTTTCCTTTTTGTCCGGCCTTGTTATCGGTCATCGAATCGTCGACTTTCCATGCGAGATCTAGAAAGAGATAGATATTTTACAAACGAGATTGAAAATTTTGATGACACGCATCATTCTTATCTTGGTGAATATCATGATAATGAATAATTGTGTGTATTTATAAATTATAATTTACTTGTAAAACTTTATAGAGAGAAATCATAAAAACTGTCTTATTATAATATAAATCGAAAAATTAATCTTGTCAGAGATTGAGAAGTATGTTCTCGTTTTGATAACATAGAGATATATGGCTCGCTTGCATTTTTATATAGTATATGATACTATATGATTCTTTTTGCATAAATCGATACAAGCAAGTTTCTTGTATTATTAAAACTGAAAATTGTTTCTCTTTTTTTTGATAAGATTAAGTTTTTGAGAGAGATTAAATATATTTCATTTAATTTATATATATCGAAAAAAATTACTATTCATCTCTTTTCCAAGTTCTAAATTCTTTTCTAAAAAACACATCCTGTGTATATACTATAATATTTCATAGAAAAAAACAATAGTTCCATAAAAACGTCGATTATTCATCTTTACTATGTGACATAGGTATAAAAATACAAAAATTTTCAAATAGAAATAAATTTGGAAAATATCACGACACAGATTTATCGATACACAGACAAACGGTTTTGCATGTTACTCGCGACAAATACATTTCTTTTATCTCATATGCCATTTTACTCTTTCATTTTCTATATATTTTTCCCTTCCAATATCCATCTTTCTCTCTCTCTCCTTCTTTTATCTTCTCCTTGTCTTCCTTTTCGATGGTGCATAATTCTCAGAACTCTCGTAAACTCTCAGAATGATATATATCGGCCCGATTTCGTAAACTCGATTTCATTCTTGCCGATCTCGATTTTTCGGACACGATTTATTGCTCTCGATAAAATATACGTTGTGTTTGTTGCACAAGTCATATCGAGGGGAACTTTGGCTCTCGTCCTTGTGCCACAGTATCACTAAATCTGCATCGCTTCGCGCTTATCAAATCTATAGAAGTTATCCTCTGTCGTGTGACATCGTTGTCCCGCAAATCTCTCTTTGCGCCAGGTGAATGCGACCCTGGGACGTGCGCCCCGTGTTTGTCGCCGCCAAACTCGGCGATATTTAAATGGGATTGCATTCGGGGAATGTAATTGCTCGGGTTGCTAGCGGACTCCGCGTTGTCGGTCCATTTTACGGGATACGGACAGATGGGAAGGGAGAAGGATATAGTCCATTCGAGAAGTGCAAACAAACGCGTTTGAATGAAAATTTCAAACTTAAAAACGTCACATATTCCAATTTTTGATTTTCTTTATAGTGAAGTTAAGATATTTTAATTCTGTACGCGACAAGAGGAATGTATCCTATAATGTACTTTTATTAATAATATATGAAATAATATAGAAGAAAAGAGACAAAAGTTATAAAAAATAAATCAAATAAAAATTCAACAGGACTTAAGTGCTTTTCTTCGACATTCAGAAAAAATGAATATTAAGACACTTTAAAAAATGCGCGTTTAACATTGAATTATCGAGGTCCCGAGACATTTAGTACAGTGTCGCTAATTAAATAATCGAGATTGATAACGAGCATCAAATAGCCAGATAACGAGGAATATTAACGGGAAAGTCGACGCACACATTACTCGAAATATTCGCGCTTCTCAATTTCTCAATTTCCGAGAGATGAGACAACGACATTGGGATTGAGCGAGGACACCGTGCGAACGAGATGAGAGGACACTCTCCTCGCTACAACAGAGAGAAAGAGAGAGAGATAAAAAGAGAGAGGAGCATCGATGAGGATGAGGGTGGATGGAACGAAGGGGGGCAAAATGCCGGGAGTGTGGCCTATAACGCAGACAGACGGAGCCAATCAGGGCGCAATGCGATTACCTTAACGAGAAATCCGATTACTTATTCATTCGCCTAACTCGAAATCAGTTTAACTAATCGTTTAATTCGGTCGCTCGCTACCGGCCCCTCCGGTTGGTTCCAGCCTTCGGATCTCTCCGGCCTGAGAGAAGAGGAGCGTAGACGACGTGCTATGTTGGCGGCAAACGGGGTTCGGGATTATGGTATCTTTTCAGGAACGTAGCGAAATTCCGAACGCGTGAATCCTCACACGAGGATCTGAAATATATATATATAATAATTCTTATGCAATATTATAGCATTTTTTATTCAATATCAAGATTTTTTTAAATAATGATGATAAAAACTTGAAATTAAACAACTTGTATTCTGGATATATAAAAGTTGTAAAATATAATATAATATATAAAAATTATTTAAACACTGATTCTAAAATACTAATCTGAGAGAATTATCTGATTAACATTTCCTTTTGTGATATTATATTATTTATTCTTAGATAATTATTTAAAAATCAATTTTACGCGTGTAGCTTTTAACTATTATTACATTTATGTTTGGCGCAAATTAAAAAAATATTTCCGCCGGGGGACAATATTATATTGATTCAAAAATATTCTTCCCGGTTATTTTTTTAAGGGACACTTTATCAACTTACCGATTCTCGTCAGCTTCCGGGGCTCTTCTCGATCCTTAATCCACCTCTGAATTCCGATTCACCCCTCGCTGGCGTATACCTCTAGACCACGCACACGCGTGCCTGAGCATTCGCACGCGTACACGTTTGAACCGAACGTTCCGGTAGGGGGATGACGCGGAGCGAAGGAGAGGGCTCATTCAATTCAATTACGTAATGAATTGTCGTGTCTTGAGTAAACACCCATCCTCGCCACGACTTGACGGCGGAAAATCCAGGGCGGTATCAGTAGTATACGGACCCCTTCACCCCCACTATCCATTATTTATTCATAATTTTTCGGTTTTGTAGGGATGAAATTATACTATATAGGCCTCTTGTAGTTGGGGCTCATGACTTAACCTTCCTTTACATAACTTTAATTTTGAAAGACAGAAGTGCTCCCCTCTAGTGAGAATTTTCTCGAATTTCTTAACGAAAACTTATTCATTCGATAAGTTGCATCATCCTGTTTCCTGTTTTACCCATTTCTCAAAAAATAAGAAAAATCAAAGAATTTTTAATTCTTTATAAAAAATGATTCATATACTTTATGTTATGTCATTATTAATGTTTATTTTTTAGGATGAATGTAAACACTCGAAAAATGAGATTTAAAAAAATTTTATTTTTCTTCATTCAATTCAATTACGTAATGAATTGTCGTGTCTTGAGTAAACACCCATCCTCGCCACGACTTGACGGCGGAAAATCCAGGGCGGTATCAGTAGTATACGGACCCCTTCACCCCCACTATCCATTATTTATTCATAATTTTTCGGTTTTGTAGGGATGAAATTATACTATATAGGCCTCTTGTAGTTGGGGCTCATGACTTAACCTTCCTTTACATAACTTTAATTTTGAAAGACAGAAGTGCTCCCCTCTAGTGAGAATTTTCTCGAATTTCTTAACGAAAACTTATTCATTCGATAAGTTGCATCATCCTGTTTCCTGTTTTACCCATTTCTCAAAAAATAAGAAAAATCAAAGAATTTTTAATTCTTTATAAAAAATGATTCATATACTTTATGTTATGTCATTATTAATGTTTATTTTTTAGGATGAATGTAAACACTCGAAAAATGAGATTTTAAAAAATTTTATTTTTCTTTAAAAAAACAATATACATTAGTGTTGAATTTTTAGGAATTTATGATTATACATGATTTGTTAAAACTTTTAGTATTGTAAATTGTTTGTTATATGTGTTTAAATGTATTTCTTTTCAAAAGAATCAACAATCTGAGTCATAAATTGATTTCAGGTTATGGGTGAATGATAACGATTATGTGTGTAATCAGACAAATGCGTGACTTATAGTGACTTGCTGCGCGATTGAGTAGGAATCAAAATGTTAGAAGAGATACAAGTAAGTTTGGATAAGCATATTTACTAAATTACGACATACTCGTCAGATTATAACCTATCGTCATGTATCATTTTGGAAAGTTAAACTCGATACTTTACAGGCAAGTAAATTATATACGATATATTCTTAATTAAGAGTCTATTATATGCATATTAATTAATTTTTGTGTACTGTAGGGGTCAATTATCCTCGTGCGCCCGAGATTCTCATCAATCGGCTTCGCAGTTCAACAGGATAAACAAAGTCGGTTTTCAAAATTCTTACAACTATTGCTCGAGAGTTGTACAATTAACAATTATTCTGAAAATAAATTTATTTTGCAGATTTTGATAGCAAACAGAGGAGAGATAGCATGTCGTATAACAAGAACTGCCAAGAAGCTTGGTGTGAAGACTGTGGCTGTATATAGCGAAGCAGACAGGAACTCTATGCATGTGGAACAAGCTGATGAA